TGTCTAGAGTTATGTATAAATCGTCGTATCCAGCCAACAACTCGAACAAGCTTCGAGAGGGAACTGTGGCGCTGCATAGGCAAAACCTGTTCTTCTTTCAGTGTCACGCTATGGACTCGAACTTGTTTCTTCTCTTCATCAGCCGCGGTCATATCAACACCCGCTTCATGCGTTGGCCAGGCAGCAGGTGGCTCCGTGAGCCATGGCGGTCCGCTCCACCATGCCGCACTCGACTTGAGTGCTTCGGGTGTTACCCCTCTTGCGAGCAGATCAGCCGGATTTTCTAGTCCAGGACAATGGTTCCAAAGCTCTGGATCAGTCAGCTGTTGAATCTCCAATACTCGAGTGGCCACAAAGGGCTTCCACTGCTGAGCCGAACCTCGCACCCAATGTAGCGCGATTGTTGAGTCTCTCCAGAGGTACCAGCTGGCAACTTGTAGGTTCAACGACCTAGTAAGGTAATCTTTTAGCCGTGCCCCTATCACCATTCACATCAATTCAAGTCTTGAGAAAGAAAGTTTCTTTAGCGGCGCCACCCGGGTCTTGGACAAAACCAGTCACCCTCATTGGTGCAGTCTGCGTGCACAGGTACGCCACAGCCCCATAAGCCTTGGGACTGGCATCTGTGAATATGTGGACTTCATTTCGGTCATCCTCAGGAAGTTCAAGGCACCTTCGGGGTACTGTCACTTTCGTTAAATGGTGCAGTGCTGTATGCCACTGCGTCCATCTTGTTTGAACCTCTTCAGGTAGTGGCGCATCCCAGTCGACACCCAGTTCCCAGGGGGTTTGGAACATCAGCTTGGCTGTCACGGTGACTGGGGAAGGGAGTCCCAATGGGTCATAAATGCGACATGATGCCTGGAGAATGGATCGTTTTGTGTTGCAGTTCCGGTCTAGGAATTCCAAAACAGGCCCCATGGAGAACGCCAGGCAATCGCTGTCTTTGTCCCAGACAAGTCCTAACACTCGAGAAACGCTAGGGGTGGTACACTCTACTTGATCTAGAACACACCCGGTTCCTTCCTTGTTGAATAGCTGCTGCAGCTCCGTAGAATTTGTGTTCCACTTCCGCATTGTCATTCCGGCTAGCTTCATGACATGTAATGTTTGTCGATAGAACTGTTCCGCCTCTTCCTCGGTGTTCGCTCCGGTGATAAGATCATCGACGTAGAGCCTTCCGGCTAGTGATTTCGTTGTTTCCGGATAGTCCTCTGTTATCGACAAGTGGTGACGTAGCGTGGCTGCGAGAAGGAAGGGGCTACTGGTCGCTCCGAAAGGAACCCTTGTCATCCTCCAAACCTCTACGGGAGGGTTCGGCTCTTGCTTCGTTGGCATTCGTTCGTACCAGAAAAATCGTAGAGCGTCACGATCTTCCAGTCTCAGTGATATCTGTAGAAATGCCTTCTCAATGTCTGCACTGAGGCCGATACGATGAATCCGAAAGTTCAGTAACACTTTCAGGAGGTCTGGATTCAGGTTTGGTCCTGGCTCTAGTGCGTCATTCAGAGACAGACAGCCTGGTTCTCTTGACGACGCATCAAACACGACTCTGACCTTGGTCGAGAGGCTGTCAGGTCGTAACACAGCACGGTGAGGCATGTAGTACACTCGGTTCTCTGCCTTGTCTGCATTCGGGGAAATCTTTTCCGCAAATCCTTGCTGGAGATACTGGCGAATTGTCTGATCATACTCAGTCAGCATCACATCGTCCTTAAGCAACTTCTTTGTGAGGCTCACCAGACGCTTCCTTGCAACTACTTCATTGTCTGCCAGCTGAAGGTTCATTGGCTTCCAAGGTAAGGCCACCTCGTACCGTCCGGTAGTTAGCTTGATGCATGATATAAATGCTCTGACAGCTTCATTCTCCTCTTCCTTTTGTGGGAGGTTAGGATCGGTGATGCCCATGCTTTCCAGCTCCCAAAATGACCGGAGCTCGGTAGACAATGAGCATGTGCTTCCACCCACATTGGCCTTCAGAACTGCCGCAGTAGAACAGCAGGCAGTCAAACCGCTGTGGGGAATCGGTCCTTGAAGTGTCCATCCAAAGTCTGTTTTGTCAGCGACTAGAGCGCCTTGCACTTTTTGGACCTCACCAGAGACAAGAGTCCAATAGTAGTCAGCACCAATAAGAATGTCAATGCCACGTCTTGTTAACTGGGCTGGTGGCAAGGTGACGTCTGCCAGCTCAGCTATCTGTACTTGGACTCCTTGCACTACACTCTCAGGTAGAAGAAGATGATCGGAGCAAATCTTTGGTATCTCCAGAGCTTCTAGGCAGTGCTTCTTTTGGCTGTACTGGCTCCTTAGCCAGACTCGTACCCTTCTGCGTTTTTCCTTGATGACGTTTCCTACTTCTCCAAAAGGGTAGATAGTAATGTCTTCTTCACCAACAACCTCGAGCAGCAGCTTACGTGAAAGTTCTTCCATCACAAAGGTTCGTTGGCTTCCTCCATCAAAAAGGATGCGCGTGAGAGCTCTTTGCTGTTTCCCTTCTGTCCAGACCTGAGCTGTTTGAAGTAGTACAGCAGGTGTTTTATCGCTCTTCCTACCAGTCGAAGAGTGCAACTCTGCTGCGGTGTTCTTACCTTTCTTCCAGGATGGGCCACACATTTGAGTTATGTGCCTTCGCCCGGATGTTTCACACATGATTCTTTAGTTGCGACATTCTTTGGAGGTGTGTCCCTTGATCGAACACCGGAAACATCGTCCTGCTTCTCAAAATCTTTGCTTCTTCTCCTCCAGAGAAATTGATGTTCAGTCTGTTTGGAGCGACTAGTTGAGGAAAGAGCAGCGGCTGATCCCTTCAGAGAAGCCTTTCCGCCTTCTGTTATTTTGCTATGGCTCATACTCTCGGCTTCTCGCTGACGGACTTGTTGAGCCTCTTCACGGCTCTCCACTTCGAGCTTAAGGAAGCGTTGTAGGCTCTCTATTTTGATACAGTCGTTTTCCTTGTCCGTAGGACGTCGACACTTGTGGTAATCAATGACTAACTCTCCCGGCAGCATTCTCAGTAGCGCAGAGCAGAGCATAGCTCCGTAAGTGTCGCTCTTCACCCCGAGCGCGGTGAGAGCGGCCCTATTACGTTGCAAGTGGTCATAGAGACGTCGCAATCCGCTCACCTCGCTCGAGTGTTGTACTGCTGGTAAATCAAGTAGTTGGGAGAGGTGTTCTTGAATGAGAACGTCAGTCCGACCGAAGCGCTCCCTGAGTAGCTCAACGACGGTATCGTAGTTTTCCTCTCCCGTTGCTTGAATGCCGGCTTTCGCCGATGCTGCCTTTCCCGTAAACGTCGACCGCAGGTACAAGAACTTCTCAGCGTTAGAGAGGCTGTCGTTGTCTTGTATGGCTTGCTTGTACTGTTACCAGAAGGGTTGCCAATCGGTAGCTGCACCGCCAAACCGTTGAAGCTCCAGTTTCGGCAGCTTCACCTTAGAGGTTGCAACGTGTCCGTCGCCGTCGTTGTGAATCCGCGTTGTACCAGCTTGGGGCCTCGCTCGTCGGAGTTCCTCTACCACCTGTGCGATGGTGGCGATGTACGTGACGAACTTGTCGTCATATTCAATCGTGCGGGCGTAGTTTTGCTCAACGTCTCCGTCAGGTACCAGTGGTTCGATGGATGCGTTCACGTTGCTCAGCTGTATTCGCAACTCACTGAGCCTCACCGATAATACGTTGAGGCTTCGCTCGTCGGAGTGGCTTGCGATAGCTGCGTCGATGGCGGAGATCAGCCTCGTCACGTGAGACCTCAGAGCCGTCCGCTTCTGCTTTAGTCGTTCCATGGCGTCTCTGGGTCTCGCGGCGCTGCTGGCGTTGCGGCGTCACTAGGCCTCGTTGTGCGATAACTTCGGTAGCGTCGCTGGAGCTCGCTCTCTTGCGGCGTCCCTTGGCTCGTTTCGTTGCGGCGTCACTAGGCCTCGTTGAGTAATAATGTGAGCAGCGTCGCTGGAGCTCGCTCTCTTGGGGCGTCCCTTGACTCGTTGAGTGATAACGTCGGTAGCGTCGTTGGAGCTCTTCTCTTGCGGCGTCCCTTGGCGCGTTTTCTTGGTGCGTTTCGTTGCGACGTCACTAGGCCTCGTTGAGTGATAACGCCGGTAGCGTCGTTGGAGCTCGCTCTCTTGTGGCGTCCCTTGGCTCGCTTCGCTGCGGGTGGATGCCCCGTCGTCATTCCGTCGTGACTATTTCGTTGTCATCCCGAGTTTTCGGCACCAAAATGTCAGAACTCCGCTGCGAGGAACGAGCCGTACGCCATGTTTTGACAAAACCAAAACAGAAGATGACGATGTTTATTGGGATTACGTCATGTGCGATGGCTATACAAGAAAAACGAAAATTGAGTTTCTTCAGGTATAGATAAAATAGGTAATGGAATTGAAAAACAAAGGATTAAGAGGAGGCAAGCGACAAGGCGATGCGATCTCAAGGCAGATCCTTGAGATCGCATCGCCTTGTCGCTTTTCCCTGTCTCCGTCACCCATATGTACAAATGGGAGTAAATAAATTAATTGGATTGAATTGAATTGAATTGAATTGCATATTTCTCGTGCCAAACCCTTCACACCTGTTCCGAACTCTGATCTCCACGAGATCACAGTAGTGTCGTTTCTGTTGTAGTGCCACGGCAGACTCCATAGTTGGTTTGCTTCAATCTTTGTAAGGGGGTCGCTTTAATCCAATTCTAGTCATCTCTGGTGTACTAGATAGCAGCATGTTTGCCGAGATAGTCTTCAGATTTTGTAGTTTCATCGAAATATAATTCAGCTTATAAAATATTTGTTATTTGGCTTGTAAATTTTCAAGCATATCTAGATTGAAGGCAGCAAGTATCTTACCTGCAGTCATGGTATCTGTCCGAAGTATATTGCATTAACATAATTGACCCAACCTCTGATTTTTGTTTTCAGTGCCTCTAGCGAATTGTTGATGCTAGGGTATATTTTTTTGTTTTTTTTTGTTTCACATAATCTACAACACTTTTTTCACCTTTACCCTCAGTGCAGCCCTCGCCGAACGGAAGCTAGCATCGACTAGGCCAATTCGTTCCTGCTTCACCAGCCAAGCCGAGGGTCAGGTCCATGGCAGTCTGCAAAGATTGTTGATGGTAAGCTGGCTTATATATACAGCTGTGTAATAGCAGCTTGTCCTGGATGGCAGTTTGAAATGCGTTTTTATGTTTTAGAAAGTGATATTTGCATGGCCATACTTGGAACGTGAGACCTTACCAAGCCTGTTCTGATACTTCATCCTCTTGAGATTTCAGTACAGCCTTTTCTGCTGCACACGCACTGCCTACTTCGGCCAGGTAGAGACTTGATCCATATGTAGGTAAGCAGGTGATTATCAACTGCTTAGTTCTGTCCGTGGTGACGTTCTCTCCTCATCAGACGACTTACCATGCTTCGTTCGCAAGGCATTTTAAAAGGAGAGCAAGTCAGCTCGTGCTTAATGTTCCCAGTACTGAGCAGTCGACGATCGCTTGTTCACATTCGTAGAAATCACGACTGTACTTCAAGCTCGGCAAGTTTGACACTTATATGATTCAGCCTAGCTGTGGTGTGCTGAGCGGTATGTATATAGCTAGTTGACTTGTGAACACAGTGTGGCTGTGCGGTATAAAACGCGCCCAATTGGCAACTTTAATACAGTCTCCTGTAGTCCCATTGATGCTGTCTTTTGGCGTGCATGATATGTGATCACACTTTTTTTTTCCATCGCTTACCGACAGTCCTAGCTGTCTGCAGAGAGTGAGTGTGAAACATGCCAGCAAGCCTCTAAAGCAGTATGCGGTGCAATTTCGGTCTATTGTGCAAGCGAGGCAGAAGAGACTGCACGTTTGGCTGTTGAGGCTGTGACATATACATTAATAGTTCTATCTGAGCATTGTTAGACCACCTCCACTCAAAAGGAAAGCACCTGCATGCGCACAACGCTCAGTCAGCAACGACCAACCGGAGCGCAGATGCCGATGGAGCAGACAATTCCTGCACCCCTATGGCCACTGCCGACTGAGCGTTACGTGCATGCCTGGTTACTTTCCCGCTAAGTGGCTGAGCGGAGCGGGCCGTAAAAAGCGCTCAGCTAAACCTTTTTCTGATAGGGGGTGGCGGACGCATAGATATTTTAGACAAAAAGATGGCCGACACTGCTCACATCAATTCTCAGTGTGAGCAGCTCTCATCGCAATACGGAAAATATGATGAAAACTTCCTCTACCCGTTTCTGAAGGTTTAGGGACAAGTGCTCTTGGCAGTATTGTCGGGCTAGACATCCTTATACCCAGATCCACTCTAATAAATTCTAAGAGAATGAAGTCAGTTGCCACATAACTTGTGTAAAACTAAATCTGGAACTCACTCCTCCTTCCTGTTTCCCACTGTATTGAGAACCTTGTCCCAGTATGTGATGGGTATGTGAAGAAAATTGACCAGATAAACAATATCACTTAGAAAATAGATGTCCCATACATATTAACCTGCATCTATCAACCACTGTACACTACCTCACTACTGATTTGGTATCTTTCAATTGATATTCCTGAACTGTTCGCACCTGTAGACATCTTAATGATGATAACGAGGGAATGTTTCATCTCATGGGATGTCATATGCTTAAAGTAAGTGAGGCTTGCGGGCATTTTAAAGGGCTAGGGCATGCCGATGGAAAACACTCAATGTGAGTTTGATGGTGGACGCTAACAATATATACTAGTTTGTGTGTAAGTCGCTATTTTTTATTTCATGAAGTCTGCAGATGACTTTTAGTCGTCAAGTTGCCATTATGTGGGAACCGGGGGGTTATACTCTGCAATGCATTACATATTTACCCGTGTCTACCCAATCTCATTAGTATGTGTACAACGGTGAGCTGTATATGTCAAGGATATGATTTGTCATTGTCTCAGTAAGGCTAATGAATCGCTATGTTTACCTAAAAATGCTGAATGTGGATATCGGGGACTGCGCACCTATCGTAACAAACGTCAGTGTTAAACTACATGCCAACTACTCTTCCAAGCTCGCCCGTCTCTCGACATGCCCTTTTGATTTAAAATAGATGATTTCCACAAGCCTTTCTCTGAAGTGGGCATTTTTCATACAAATAGCTGACCTTGATTATGAGATAACTGGACCATTTTCGCCCCTTGGTCATCCAGTGTGTTGTTACAGGTGTGTCCCTCAGGGATTCTTGTTTTGATAGAGTTTCCAGATTGAAGATAAAATAAAGACATTTGGTGCATTAGCTACAAAAAAATTTCCTTTTACATGGGCTGCTTGTCTCATGCCCCTCACCCCAGTTTGGAATTTCTGGATTGTCACGTGCAGCTGGTATTGATTTACCCTATCATTCTACTGTGGTGTCGATTCTCTTTACAGGTGCTGTAATGAAGGGCTTGCCTTCTCGGGTGCATGGTCGACTTGCATCACAAGCTGCATGAGAAGTGTGAAGAAAATTTCCTATGACCGTGACATGCAGCCTCTTTCATTCAGCGCACTCCTCTGGCGACAAGCGCATGATTACCAGCCGACTGTAGCTTCACTGCAACTGACAATAAAGAATTACGGTAACAATTTTGTATGTTTCATTTATTGTTTACACACATTACGTGTTAAAATAACCCCTGTTATGAACTACATCACTTCTATTCAGGTGTGAATTGCGCAAAAAACCAAATGTTAGCCTGGAAAACAAGACCGTGAACTGTAGGGTTTTAGCCCGCTAGCCTGGGGTCTTGCTGCTATCTTGCGGTACTGCTGGTACTATGCCGGGGATTTGTGCTGGCAGCAGCCCGGGAACTCGCTGGAACAAAAGACCGGGAACTGTATGGCTTGAGGCCGCTAGCCTGGGGTCTTGCTTGTATCTTACCGTATTACTGGTACTACGCTGGGGGTTTGTGCTGGCAGCATCCCGGGAACTCACTGGGACGCCCAGTGCCGGGCGTCCCAGTCAGTCCCAGTCGCTGGCCAGTGACTGGCAATCTCACTGGCCCATTGTCGCCCCACGGGACGTTTCCAGCGTCGGGCCAGTCGGATCTTGTAGGCAGACCGGTACCCCCCCATTCCCAAACCAGCGAGTTCTGCTACTTGGGATGGAGCGCTTTTGGAGCGCTCGAGATCTGCGAGCGGAATTTACCATTAGATTCTCTTTTTCTTTTTCACGTAAGACATTTAGTTTTTTATAGTGCATCTCTTTGGAACCCATTTCTGGGCGTCAGCGTCGGCGTAAGTGCCCCGCTAAACTTAGCGGGAAATTAATTTTGATTTCACGTGACGTCAATTTTTTCACTAATCTGGCTGAGAAACTTATTTCGTTCATGGGTGACGCGACACCAAGTCATGTAACGTCATTTTCCCCGCTACATTTACCGGGAAAACTGAATTTGTGTTGTCACGCGATGTCAATCACCCCACTAATTTTAGTGAGGTAAATTAACCCGTTCAATTTAGAGGAAAATTTTTCCCGCTATCTCTAGCGGGAAATTTAGCGAACATTATTTCACTAAATTTAGCCTGGAATTTAGCGGAAGTTTTCCCGCTAATTTTAGCGGGTAAATCGTCCCACTAAATTTAGCGTGTCCATTTTTATGCCAAACTCAGTGAAATTTCTCGCAAAATGAGAGGGAGCGGAAGAGAATGGGGGGCATACCCTCCCCTCCGTACCCTCCCATCCTCCTCCTCAAGAGCTGCGCTCCAATTTCCCAATACAGAGAATTGGAAACGCCTTTCAGTTTTCATCTCATGTTCATTCAAATTTTATTTCTGAGGTGCGCTCGCAGGACAAATCTGGGTTGTGCTGGTCCTCTACGCACAAGTTATGAACTCCTCAGCGGCAAGAGTGGGAGTTTGGTCTGACAGCTCACGGGGCACCTTTGTTCAGTATTGAATCTGTAATTATCATCTTTCGAGAAAAGTTCAGCTTTGCTGAGTGCAGTTCTTCTAGAAAGAATTTGACGCAGCAGAGGAAAGGATTCTGGAAAGGTTCGAGGACCTCGAATGAGAGCTTTTTAGTGTGCAAACATCATACTTGTTTGAAACCACTAGTTGATGCAGAGACTCGCTGACATCCAGCGTTCCAAGGGAACGCTGGATGTCCGCGAGTCTCAACCAAACGATGCAAGCGGCGAAAGAACCATATTATCATATCGTATTTGCAGATGTCTTGAAAGAAAAAAAAAAGAAAACGTAAAAGCTACACTTGCGCGGTGTGCACAGGTGACTTCTATGGCCAGAGGGGCATAGTATAACGGGCTAACTGTAATGCTGTGTCGGCTTATTAAAGGGAAGCGTAACGCTCCTTTAAAAAACCACAATATAGAGGTTTGCTGTAGCGTAGTTTTATCTCGTGAATCTAAATACCACGTTCGTTTTCCCCAAAGATGTAACAACTAAATGTGAGAAATCAGAAAAAACATCGGACCAGTAGTGACGTCATAAGAAGACCTTCTGGCCGCCAATCGTGTGCGGTTTGAGGTCCGGGGATCCAATCGCAAGCTTGCGAGGTATATTCTCCCGCACTGGCCCTAGTCGTGACGTCTTTTTGTGCCCTTTTTAATAATAGCGCGTGCGCGCATAGCTTTAATAGGCGCTGAAGACGCGTGAAAGCGGAGATTTCGAAAGCTCCTTTTGTGCCGTCACCCTCCGCGAAAGAGGACCTTGAGCGGTACGTTGAACATGATTCTATGGAGCCTCGATTCACCAAATTAAGAAATAATATTGATATTCGAGATGCTGGAGGTCCAATGAAGATTAAAATGTGTTTCCTCAAATAAAAAAAAAACGCTTCAGGTTTCCTTTAAGCATAATATGTTCCTTAAAGTTATAATTACTGAAAATAGACCCAGTGTTCCAACTGGCTGAGCATCATCAAACAACACTAAATCAACACTATTTATCAAGATATAACACAGGAGCAGCATTTCAAGGCGTTATATAAAGAATGCTCAATTTGAACGCGTTTCTAGAGTTCGGTGTCATAAATCAGACCGCATCAGTGCTCCCGCGATCCTACTGCCCAGTGGCCGCAGTGCCAAGCCAGCCGTCGCCTCCCTCGTAGGATGGAGGGAAGCAGGGCGCAGGTGCGGTTGCGCGTATAAGCCACTGGGGCGGTTTGCTCATCTCGCGACCGCGGCCACGAAGGATTTTTACGGCACGTGACCAGCTCCATTCGGACAAGGAAGTACCTAGCGTCCCTACCTAATGGCACAGAAATTCGTGCCGCTTCGAATACAAAAGTCTAATTTCGCTCGAAGAAGCCTACTGCAGAGACCGTCAACTGGAGTTCATTTAACCGCCCTTTTATACTTTAGGAGCGGCAGGCAAAGTTACGGCCAGAGCAGGTAAATATTGGCAAATAGAAAGAAAAAATCACGGGAGATAAAAGTGGTGCCAGTATATTTATATACCTGCGCCAACGCTGGACACTCAATTTTCATGTATAGTCGAGAAGTAAGAGCGTTAGGATTTCTCGTCGCGACGTGAAAGTTCCGGGTTCTTTCTTTTTTTATATTTTATTTCTCCCTTTTCCTCTGTCTTTTTTCTTCGACCAAGTTTCCCAGCTTTTACCACAGTCTCGGGCATTGTACATCATGATCAACTTGCACAAGCTCGCCTGCGCACTCACTGTCTGGCTTTTTTTTATTACTGACACGACTGCAGTGTGTATGGTACTATATAGGCGTCTCCTGTTATTGAAAAGAGTCGTGGCAAGAGCGGTGTATATTTAAAAACACATAAAAGTGTAGTTGTTGGGGAAAAGATGCTTGTTTCGGCCCCGTTTGTGTAAAGTCATATCGATGCTGTAATCTTGGTTCCCTTTTAATGAAGATTATGAAACGATTGTATTAGTGCGTTAGCTTGGCTTGATATTTTTTTTCCGGTGTGTCGATTCAAAAGGTGGGTGAAACAGTAACTTGCTTTCGACGAGTTGTGCCTTTTTCCTGCGGTACTGCGCTTTCGTAACAACTTCAACGCGTTCTCAACAGCAAGTATCACGCTTCACCCAGGATCGTAAAGAACCTCTTCGGCGAATGACGACGAACGAGTAGGAAACGTCTCTATAGCACGCTGGAAAACCGCAGAAAAACGCTAGTAAAACGAAAAACGTTACCATGCAAGATGGTCGGCTGACGGCCGCACTCGCACTGCAGTGAACATGCGGAGATGCGCGATCCAGCAATTGTCATTGAGATAAGTGGTAAAAACCGTGTAAGGCGCAGTAGTGCAAGTGAATGATTTGGACGATTTGTAAAAAGGATCACAGTTAAAAAATAAGACAAACGCGCAAAATATATTAAAAAAAGTTCAGTTCCTGGCGCGACCTGAACTTCGAAGTTTCACGCCGCGACGACAAGTCCCGGCGTTCCTCCCTTATGCGGAGGGCAAGTTCGTCTGCTTTTTGCGCAGGGGTTGCGGTGACGTCTGAACGCCGAGCTCTGATTGGCTGGAGTGGAAAGATAGCGGGTCGCCGAAACCCACTATCTGAGTGTCATCTGCTCCTTTGTGACGTCGTTCGCTATTCAACTGCTGTCTTTCTTTACGAGCGAGCTCGACCTCGCCTTTTAGAGAGGACAGACGAAATAACTCGAGCGGTACGATGTGTTTTCGTCTAACAACTAGTAGACACATATCGGGGAGCGAACACAAAGGACTCACGAGCGAGGTAGCCGACGCGCCGAGGTTCGTTTGCTAACAACCGAGAACGAGGATTGTTAGCGTCCGCAAGTTCCCTCCTTTCGTGTGCGGCGTCGAGCGTATTGCGGAAGTTATGTCGTAGACTTGATGACACGAAGAAGTAATTGTTGTTTTTATATTTTTCGCTAAATTTTTTGAAATCTTATTTTCTGTGCCCTGTTGTTTAAACAGACGAACACTTGCTCGGGGTAACCCGATGGACTTCAATTAGCCCTCTGTATTTTGTCAAGTCACTTTTTTCTCAGCTTACTGTCTTAACAAACAGGAATAAAAACACGTTGCATTCTTCAGTGTAGCGCGCGTGCGGCCCCGGCCATGTAAGGACATCACATACCTGTTTTTGCTAATTTTTCGTGCGGCTAGGAGCTGCTTGTCCCTCTAAGTTTGCAATTTGCAGAGAACCACGCAACTATCTAATAGGATAGAGTTTCGTTTGTTATCAGAATTAACCAGACAAATCACTCCACCAACTAAGAACGGACATGCACCACCATCCACCGAATCAAGAAAGAGCTTTCAATCTGTCAATCCTCCCAGAAACTTAAAATGTGACACACCGTCGTGAATGTGCCCACAACATCCTAAGACTCAGCACGTTTTCCTTTCCCCTGGTAACACTGCCCCTTGGACAGCGCCTGATCGCAGCCGACCTCTAAATTAAACCGGAGAGAAGCGGAACGTTCTTTTCTTTCTTTTTAAACCAGAAACCACGCGAAGGACTCACGGCTATAGCTGCAGCTGCTACAGCACGTCTGCCATTGCCGACGCCGAAATGTTTACATCCGCGACCCCCCCCCCCCCCCCTTACCCCCCTCCGAGGAGCCGGAGCTTAGTATAAGCTCCTCCCCCACCTTGACTCCTCCTTTCCCATCCGTAGAAGACCGAAATGCGCCCACCTGCAAGGCGCTTACAGCGGAAGGTTAAGGCGTTCGACGCTGGCGTATTCCGCCACCACTTTTACCTTGCGTGACTTTTCTTTGTTTCGGCTCGTATTTAGCTTCCCTGGCCGTAACGTTACCTGGCGCTCCTAAAGTACAAAGGGGCAGTTAATTGGACTCAAGTTGAAAGCCTCTGCGGTCCCTGTCTACTAGCGAATTTGAACTTTTGTACTTGAAGCGACACGTATTTCTCAGCCATTAGGCAGGGACGCTAGGTACTTCTTGTCCCCATGGAGCTGGTCACGTGACGAAGAAATCCCTCTTGGCCGCTACCGCGGCCGCGGCAGTGAGATGAGCAAACCGCCCATGGGTAACAGGACCGTGGGCGGAGAGATGCGCTCTGACAAGAAACCGAAACCTGGAAACGCGTCCAAATGAAGCGTTTTTTTACAGAACGTGTAAAATGAAACCCCTGCGTTATATGCCTCTAAAAAGAGCTGATTTAGTGGTTTTCGATGACTCTCAGCAGCTATCTAATTGAAACCATATGTTCATTTTCACTAATTAAAAAGTTAATTAACAAGTTGTATGTAATTATCTGACTGATCGTTACGATTAGGCCCCTCTACTACGTCCCGCTGGCTGTATAACTCACCTGCACAAACCACATAATTGTAGCTGTCACGACCTTTTTAAACAATTATGTAAAGCTTTAAAAAATCGCCTTGTATACCAGTGAAAAAGGGTTAAGGTGCACCTAAGTACCTCTTAAGCCCCATACGCACATTCGCGTTTGAACGCGTTTGAGTGCGTTGCGGCGTCCTTGCGGTCAGGAGCGGTCGCTTGTCGACTTGAAGCAGTTCAAGACCCAGATTGGGGTGGCCTTGCGCAGTGCTCTGCCACAAAATTAGGGGAGGGAACCGCCGTGCGACTACTCGAGGCGCGAAACACCATCATGGTGTGCACGGACGAGTGGAACGAGGCGGTGACCATAGCCGGGATCAAGAAGCTCAAGTTCCCAGTCGGCCAAATGGATGCGGAAGCATACCACGTTTCACCCACCGAAGACGCGTGTCGTGGGGTGACACATGGTGTACATGTCCCAAATTCACGAATGAACAGATACGACAGAAGACCGAGGCCTTCGGGTACGAGGTGCTGGATGCAAGGAGGCTCGGGAAATCGCACTCAGCCGTCATTGTCTTCGCGAGAAACAAGGTCCTATTCGCGGTCAGTTTCAACTGGTTGGAGACGCCCTGTTTCATTTATAAGAAACCCAAGGCGGCGTGCCTCAACTGCGGCCAGGTAGGACACCGAGCGGACGTCTGCAGCAAACCCGCGGGCTTCGTATGTACGCTATGTGGAACTGTCAGCGTAGGAGAGAGCCACGTGTGCACGCCAAATTGTGCTGTCTGCAGAGGGGGGCATCAGACTTATGACGGGACCTGCCCCGAAAGGTTTTATAAGAGAACCCAGACTCACAAGGCGAAAAGACAGATCCGCGGAGAACAGCGCACCGGCGAGGCACAGGTGCGGTGGCTCTCCAAGGAGACAGAGTGGAGAGAGTCAAGGGCGCGCGCACGCTCGCGGAGCCGCTCCGCGAGCCGCTCCGCCAGCTGTCACTACGACCACAACGCAAACGAAGCGCAAGCGAGGAAAGAAGACCAAGGGAGACGCTACCAGGGGTGAAATTCGCACCGACACCGATGACTACGGGAAGTGGCCTGCGCTACCAACGGAAAAGGGTCAAGGCGACAAGCCCAAGGTGCAAGGGGAGCGGACAAGCACGTACAAGAACTAAAGAGGGAATTGGGCCAGTAAGAGAAATCTATTGAAGAAATGAGACGAGCAAACGAGAGAATACGAAACGCCAACGCGGGCAACTCTGTTGGACAGATTCAAGCGATAGTCGAGGATGTAGTTCAGCGAGCGGTCCGGGGGATGCAAGAATTCATGACCAGCCAACTCATGCATCTTGCACAGAGGACATTGGAATTTGAGAACTTTGGGAAGAAGATTGGCATAGCAACAAGACAGCCTCACCAAGATACAAATTACGAAAAGAAGGAAGACCGGAGGAGGCCCACAGGAGTCGTATGCATCAGACGCGGAGTGGTGCATAAGCCAAAGGAGCCAGAAATGAAGATTTGACAGTGGAACTGCCGGGATGGGACGCAAGCAGGCGAGCCTTAATCTGCGGGTGTCACAGGAAGCAATTCACCCGGCAGTGATACTGCTACAAGAACCCGGAAAAAAAGTGTGAAAATCAAAGACTACGTTACGTTTGAAGAGGATCAGTACGTCGCGACACTGGTGTAGAAGCTGTACTCAGCAACGAAGCGGGAATTCGAAAGTCAAGGGGCCTCAAGCTGCTACCTCACGGTGATACCTGTGAAAACGGGAGACCAAAGGGTGCACGTGGTGAATATCTATGGCAACCCAAAAGACCATAAAACGGACATTCGGCGAGTCGTGTCTACGGCCGTGGAGGAAGCAGGAAGGGACCCGGTAGTTATCGCCGGAGAGGCGCCTCACCCGGCATGGGGGTATCGATTTGTCACACCCAGGAGATTGGCAGAACTCATCAACCGGGAGCGTCTCACGCTCCTCACGGACTCAGACCAGCCGCCGAGAACCGGTTCTAGCACAACCAGAGACACATGCCCGGACTTGACGATTGTCAAGAACACGGAAAGTGCGGAATGGAGGAATTTACTGGAGGAACTGGGCAGCGACCATTGCATACTCGAAACTATCAGACACCGAAGAGGTTTTAAGAGAAAATTGGGAAAGACCAAGATCACGAATTTTAACAGGTGGAGGAAGCAAAGGTGTTCACATCGAGAACACCGAGGAGTGGGCTAAAACAATCTCGGACAGCATCAAACCCTTCTCCACGGAGGTAGAGCGCACAGATAAGAACCCAGACGTGGACAAGCACCTCCTACATCTATGTTAAGCACGGCGCGCTCTCACCAAGAGATGGAAGAGGCAGCGGCATAACAAGGTCCTCAGGAAGAAGATTGCGGAGCTAACGGCAAAAGCCGAAGAGTATGCGATCACGCTGGCCAGCCTAAACTGGTATGGGGTATGCAACCGCATAAGAGGGAGCCTCGGGTCGGCACAGTCATGGAGACTCCTGCGGGCACTTATCGACCCAAGGAAGACCAAGACGGCCACCACCAAACGACTCGTGGAGCTGGTTTTCAACGTCCCAGAACCACATGACCTCATTATGGACCAGCTTGCCGCGAAATACTTCTGCCTCGACCCTCCAGTGGTGCAGCCCGACTACGAAGGAAGGGTGAACCCGGACCTGAACAGACCCATCACAGTAGAGGAACTCGAATATGAGTTGCGAAATGTGAAAAAAAAAACGGCAGCGCCGGGGCCGGACTCTATTACGGCTAAGCTCCTCTATAACTTGGCGGAGGGGGACCTCAGGGAGCTGGTCCGGCACTTTAACGAAGTATACTGGGAGAAAGGCATCACGCTGGATGCCTGGAAAACAGCCGATGTGCGGTTCATCCCCAACCCCAAGAAGGACCTCAAATCGGAAAATCTTCGTCCGACTTCGCTAACCTCGTGTCTGGGGCAGGTATTCGAGCGCGTCATTAACACGAGACTCATCAAACACATTGACAAGAGCCAGCTTCTACCGAAAACGCAATTCGGCTTTCGACCGCGTACGTCCACTCAGGACGTGTTGCTTTGGCTATACAAGGACCTCCTGGAGGATTCTTCGAAGTGACAGACGAGGTGCATCCTTGCGCTGGACGTGAAGGGGGCCTTCGATAACGTCTCGTATGAAAGTATCCTCCGAGGACTTAGCCAAGTCGACTGCGGAAGGAAGACTTATAACTACGTCCAAAGCTTCCTCTCAGGAAGAACGGCGACGCAAAACTCGGGAATATCAAGTCAAAAAAATACAACCTCGGGCCGAGGGGAACACCTCAAGGCGCCGTCCTGTCCCCATTGCTTTTTAATCTGGCGATGCGTGGTCTACCAGGGGCGCTGGAAGCGGTGCCGCAGGTGGAGCACGCCATCTACGCGGACGACATCACTCTGTGGTGTCGTTCGGGGAGCGACGGGCAGATCGAGGAAGGCCTTCAGAGGGCGGCCGACATCGCGGCGGAGTACGCTCGAAGCTGCGGTCTTCGCTGCGCTCCAGAGAAATCTGATTTGCTAATACTGCACAACCCGCGGGAAAAGCAAGTCGAACATAACAACCTCCTGGTCGACGGACAAGCGGTACCAAAACCCAAGGTGGTGAGGATCCTGGGACAGCACATTCCGCAGGGTCTGGGGAACAAGGCGACGATAGATTTGCTGGAGACTGTGGCCACGCAAGTGGGCAGAATCATGCGAAGTATTAGGAACAAGAGACATGGCATCAAAGAGAAGGAGGCGGTCCAGCTTGTGCAGGCCTTCATTGTCTCTAGGCTGACTTACGGGACTCCCTACCTAAACATAAACAAGACCAAAATGAACAAGCTGAACGCTATCCTGAGGAAGGCATGCAAGAACGCTCTAGGATTACCAGAATGGAGAGCCACTGAGAAGCTGCTCAGGCTGGGGGTACACAACAGCATGGAGGAGCTTCACGAGGCCCAGATAATATCACAGCTGAAGAGGCTGGACGCTACCCTATTGGAAAATTTCGATGATGGAAAGATGATGGAAAAGGCTCATACAAGCGTAACCGTAATATGGGACATCCTATACAAGCGAAACCTCGGCTCCAGTATAGTGGATTAAGGCGGAATGATACAGGTAGGCGGAACCATACAAGCGCGTCGTATTATGGGACATCCTATACCAGCGTAGTGGATTATGGTGGAACCATGGAGGCGGACGGAACCATACATGCATAACGTAATATGGGACATCCTATACCAGCGAAAAGGCGATACCAGCGTGGTGGAGCCGTATGGCTCCACCATGCTGGTTTCGCCTTGTCACTGTTGTACAGGGCGATTTAGTTTTAAGCTTTACGTATATGTTTAGAAAGGTCGTGAAAGCTAAATTAATGCGGTTTGTGCAGGCGAGTTATACGGCCAGGTGTACATAGTATAGGGACCTAATCGTAACAATCAGTCAGATAATTACATACAATTTGTCAATTAACTTTTTAATTAGTGAAAATGAAAATATGGTTTCAATTAGAAACTTGCTGAGTCATTGAAAACCACAAAATCAACTCTTTCTAGAAGGATATAATGCAGGGGTAGCATTTTACGCATTCTGTAAAAACGCTTTATTTGGACGAGTTTCTAGGTTTCAGTTTCTTATCAGAGCTCATATGTCTGCGCCCACAGTCCTGTTCCCCAGGGGCTTAGACGCGCAACACATGTGCGCCTTGCTTCCCTCCATCCTACGAGGGAGGCGAGGGGTCGGCTTCGCACTGCGGCCACCGGGCAGCAGGACCGCAGGTGCAAAGATGCGCTCTGGTAAGAAACCGAAGTCTGGAAACGCGTCCAAATTGACCATTTTTTTTAGAACGCCATAAAATGCTTCTCTTGTCTTAAATCTTCACAAAGAAAGTTGATTTAGTGTGTTTTGATGACGCTTAGCAAGTTTCTAATTGGAACCATGAATCTATTTTCACTGATTAAAAATTTCAGGAACATACTACACTTAGAGAGAGGCTGAAGCGGTTTTGTATTTGAGAAAACACTTTTAAATCTTCTTCATATGACCTCCAGAATCTCAAATATCAAAATTATTTGGTAATTTTATGAATCGAGGCTGCATAGAGTCATTTTTAAAGCGCTGTGAAAGCACTTCCCTGGAGAGCGACGTCACAAAAGCAGCTTTCGAAATCTTTGCTCACGCATCTTCAGCACCTATCAAAGCTATGCACGCACGTGCTATTTTTTAAAAGGGCAAAAAAATGTGTCCCGACTGGTGCCAATGCGAGAGAATATACCTAGAAAACTTGCGATTGGACGCGCGGCCCTTAAGCGACAAACGCTTCGCGGCCGAAAGGTCTTCTTACGATGTCACTATTGGTAGGAGGTTTTTTTTTGTTTTCTCACGTTTAGTTATATCTTTGTGGAAAACGAATGGGATATTTAGGTTTGCGGGATAAAACTACGCTAGAATGAACCTCCATCTAGTTTTCTGAAAGAAGTCTGGCACATTTCTGTAATAACCCGACTGAACATTACAAATTAGTCTTTTATACTATGCCGCCCTGGCCATGCAACTCACGTGCACAGACCGCATAAATGTAGCTTTTATGGCTTTTTTAAAGTCTGTAAAACATACAAAAAAACACTCTCTAGAATGTCCCCCAATACGATACAATTGTATGGTTCCTTTCCCGCTTGCATTGTTCAAGAAAGACTTGTGGACATCCAGCGTTTCATTGGAATGCTGGATGTCAGCGAGTCTACATTAGTGAGTGGTTTCAAACAAACATGATGTTTGCACACCAGTAAGCTCTTATCCAAGGCTCACCAGGAGCACTAAGAGCAGAGGCAAAATGTCGTGACCTGGTAAATTTGGTTGCAGGCATTTATTTTTAGAAGAACTGCAAGCAGCAAAGCTTAACTTTGCTCAAAAGAAGATAATTAAAAATTCAATACTGAACAATGGTGTCCCTTGAGCTGTCAGACCAAACTCCCACTCTTGCCATTCAGGAGTTCCTAACTTGTGCGTAGAGGATCAGCACAACCCAGATTTGTGCTGCAAGCGCACCTGCAATATAAAAGTTGAATAAACATGAGATGAAATATGAGACGTTTAGAATACTCTGTAATGTGAAATTAGAGCACAGATCTTGAAGAGGAGTATGGGAGGGTATGCCCCTCCTCCCCCTCCCCTACTACTCTTCGGCGCCCTCCCATTTAGCGGGAAATTTCCCTGAATTTAGCGGGAAAATGTGCCCACTAAATTTAGCGGGTTAAGTTTTCCACTAAATTTAGCGCGGAAACCCCTCCCAGTTTCAGCATGAATGCAAAAATATATGCAGACTAGACCTTGTCCTCAACACAAATGACCTCAACACAAATGCAGTTTTTCTGCTAAAAGTAGCGGGGAAAATGACGTCGCATGACCGTGTCATGTCATCCATAAAAAATTCAGTTTCTCAGCTAGACTTAGCGGAAATATTAACGTCACATGACCGCAACATTAATTCAATTTCCTGCCAAGTTTAGTTGGGCGGTTACGCCGACAGCGACGCCGCAAAACGCGGAAACGGGCGCTAAGAGCTGCGCTAAAAAAACTAAATGCATCAGGTTAAATAAAGTGAAAATTAGAGAAGAAAAAGAAAAGAGAATCTAAGATCAGGTTCTCAGATCCTTTCTTTTGTCCGTTCTCAAATGTTTTGATTTCAAGAAATGTTTATATCTTTATTCATAACCAGAGAACCCCTCCCAGTTTCAGCATGAATGCAATAAATCAATGCAGACTAGACTTTGTAAACTATAATGCACATGAAAATGAATGTTCGCCACATAGTCATGTATGAGTCAGTGGCTCAGATCTCTAAATACATTTGTATTGAGGAACATTCTTGAATAAAACTTCTAGGCTTCGAATTCGACAGTTTGTACTTCCATAAGGAACACTGTATGGCACTGATTTTTTTTGTGACACATCAGAAACAGCACAGCAGTGTCATCCTTGCCAACCTAACAAGAATTTGTATTTTTTTTTTGTTTTAGCATGGCATGTGCTATTCTAATGCTTATACAGCCTCCTTTAACAAAATTTCCTTTGTAGAGCTTTCTATTGGTTCTTATTTAACTCGCACGACAAATTCGGTACGTACTCGGCATCAACAGTTTTATATATTAATGTAATAGGGAAAGACAAGATGTATGGTCTTGAGTACGGCTCAACAAGCACAGATGTTGAGAAAAGTACTGAAGAAAACTCAAATGTCAAAATAAAAATAAGCTGGAATGTGGATACAATTAAGGACATGGTCATAAATACAGTAGCAGATTC